ATTTTAAACAAGTTGTTCTTTAAAAGTATATTCATTAATCTACCCTATTATCTTATCATCCCTATATCCTCCTATATATTTATATGATATCCCTTTTTCTTTTTTAGAAAGAGATCATATTTATAATCAACCTATTTTAAATAAAAATATTGGTTTTTCTCTGTCCCACACCAGAGGGCTCTTCTGATTTGGGACACAAGAATCTCTTAACCAATTTTTTAAGTAATATGTCTGGGTTTAAAGGGGAAGTGAGCCAATTCCACCCCTAAAGCCCGCTTGGTATATTTGGGAATTTGGGTGTAGCATCTCTTACTACTTCCTGCTGGAGGGGGCACTGTATCTTATGGGGATGCACAGAAACTTTTAGGTCTATGGGGTAGTCTGTGAGGCTGTATTGTGTGAACCAGTTGCCTTGAAACCGATCCGGATGTTGGATCATCTGGGCCATGGTGTCATTGGAGAACTTTCAAGGGGTCTTGGCTGGTAAAACCTGATGTATCTTAATCTGGAACAAATCCATAGCCTCTGGCTTTCTGTGGAAACAAAAACAGAAACTCTTTTCCAAAGCAACATATCCTTAAATCCAAATTTTGAAGTCAAGTTACCTTTAAAATATACATATTGGTTTAAGTCAACATCTTTTTCGATCAAATGTTTTTTTTGCAGTTAAAAATCCCAAAGACAACACAATCCAGATTGTCTGTGTAATATTCATCTTTACGTGGCTTTTTTATATTAATTTATCTTAATTTGTCTCTTTCAAGCCTACGTATTGTGAATTTATTGCTTTAAACTGCAGTATTCTAAGACTGAAACAGCACTGTGGCTGGTGGCTCTGCCCATTTTAGCTTACCAACATGGTGTTTTCTGCCAGTTTTATGAGTCATCAAGTCTCAGGAATATATTGGGTCTAAGCTTTTATCAAAGCAGTGTGTAGCCCAGAAACCTTTTTTTAAAACTAGTAAAGACTAAATCTACCACACAGCATAATGTGCCACTGGCAGACACCTCATTACCGCAATACTGCTGGTAAAGGGCAAATGCCAGGAACCTGCCAGTGTTCAAACCTGCGTTTTGAGGCATCTAGCTGCCCATAAGAGACATGAAGCAGGAACCTGGTTTTGGCTCTGTTTAGAATTAGTTATTAAACATTTCAGGTTTAAGGTAGAAACTCAAGCCCTTGGGCCCCATTTGTTGCTGGAGAGCTTCTCTCCAGGTTCCACCAAGCCCCGCAGTACCATAATCCACGTATAAAATAATCCCTCAGACGCTTATATTACTTATTAACTGTACGCCATGGCAGGCTTCTTGCTAACTGTTCTTATATCTTGAATTAAGCCATTTCTATAAATCTATACCTTGCCACATGGCTGGTGGCTTTCCAGCATCTTTACATGCTGCTTGTCCTGGCAGTGGCTGCAGTGTCTCTTCCTCCTTCTTCCTGTTTCCCCAATTCTCCTCTCTCCTTGTCCCTCCTATACTTCCTGACTGGTCACTGACCATCAATGTTTTATTTATATAGAGCAATATCAACAGCAGCTCTGTTTTTTTTCTTTTTAGAGGAAGCAAAATAGTCTTTGTCCTCATGTCATTCCTGTCCATATTTGAGGTTCTGCCTTTGGGAAGAGTTCAGAGACATGATTTTGGGCAAAGGCATACACTAAAGATACAGCCTACCAGAAGTATAAACCTTGTATAAAATGAATTAATGATGACAGAGTTGACCTAAGATTGAAACCACAGGGTTTGAAAGAATGAATACCTATACATCATGATCTCTTCTGTGATAAAGATCAAGTGATCTCACTGATAATTTCTTTCGATGGTCATTTGCTGTAGCTGACTGGTCAGCCGCTGCACCTTCTGCTTAACCTGCATCTTGGTGAGGAAAGTTTGGTGGGATGGTGGCTCCCTGGTGCTCATTGTGGGTAGGTGAACAAAAATTACCTTGAAGTATGACAAGACAAAGAGGATGGACAGGCCACTCTGAGTCCTAAACAAATGTTTGAGAAAGCTTGTTTACCAATGACTCAGTGACACCCCAAATTATTTTGCCCCATGCTTCAAAAGTCCTCTCTGGGGAAGTCAGCTGTCTCCTCTATTTGAAGGGAAGTGGTTATCCCAGCTATCTGGTTCTCTCTGTCCTCATAGCATATGCTCCAAGTAACCAAGGAGATAGCCTCTTCAGGCTTATTCACAGCTTTAGATTCGATTGAACTTGGCTACAGAGTCTACAAGCCTGTAGCTTTGTGAGTCAGGAGAAAATTGCCATAGTTAACAGTCACCCCAGTCTTTTAGAGGTTTCCCAAATATCTTGAGAGGTCACTAACCATCTAACCATCGATGGAGAAGACATATAAGGGCAGAACATTGTCACCAGACTCAACAAGTCACCTCAATGACAACTGAGGTCACACACAGCAGCTGGGAAATAACTAAAGTTAGCCAGTATGGTTGAAGTACAGTGATGTCCTGCGATGAATTGAGCACAACTTATTAATCCCTCCCTCTTTAATGTTGGTCTCATGTTCAGTCATCAATGCCTATCCTCCAAAAGGGATGAAATCCAAGAGTTCCCAGCATAAAGCATTGGCCTTACCAGTTCCTGTCCTCTGAGTCAAAACAATTAATATCCTAGAATCCTTGAAATTCAAGAGCCACGACTAGCAGGGAAGTTCTGTTGGTTCCCAGAGACTACAGCTTTCTGTTCCCCATTACTGGAAGATTCAGCTCAAGCCCACTTCCTCCAGGAAGCTTCCATTTTCCTGCACAGATCTCATTGGACCTTTTTCTCGACCATTTCTTCCTTCATGTTTTACACTGAGGCCGAAGGTCAGCTTTTTTCTGTCACTTTCTGGTCTCTCTACCCTCTCCATCTCTTTCTGAATTAGACTCTTCAGTATGCCATCATGTT